GGCTTGATGCTGGCGGTGGGGGAGAGAGTGAAATCGACGCGCATTGTCCTAGTATAAACAACCTGACGCGGTTAAAACCATGGCTCGGAAAGTTGCCAGCTGACGGTTGTGTAATTTATTAGGTGTAGTGACTGACTGGCAGCCTGAGAGTCAGACTGCAATGGCTCCCTCCTAATGTGGCCGTTATAGCACACTCTCACATAGCTGGAATCTTAGCCAGGCGTTGTGGCAGGCATTGGGGGGGCATCCTCGCGCCCAGTCCCGCATCCGGACTTCTCAACTCTGGGGTGATACCGGGCAAGGGTCAGTGAGGGGAAGGACAGAGTGCGACAGATACCACGCAAGTCTGATAGCAAGTAAAATTAATTCACGCACATGTCACCCTGCCTGCTGTGGAGCATAGTATGGACATAATCGAAACCAGGGGTCGAACTGCCGTGTTCCAGGCACGTCCTCAACAGCGCCTTTTCAGTGGATGGGTCCACAGGGCGTCCGGATTGGTTCGCGTCTTCGGGAAGCTGCTCAGCTGTTGGAGCGGATTCGATGGCATTGTGGCCAATCTGAAGGAGATGCTCTAAATACCCAACCACAATGTTACACTGAGAGCGGTCCGCAGGTAATCCTATTTTTGTCTGTTGCGTTTGTCGTTTGCAACAGAAAGTTGAGAGTGGTTTTGTAGTCTTGTGGAATACCAGAATGTGTCATGGAAGAATGTCCCCCCAATGCGTTCGATACGCCCTAGAACGCCGTTAAAACGTTATAGCTGCAAGTGATGCTAATAAATGCTCCATGGTTCTCGACTTCTGACCAAATCAATCAGATTATATGTTTTAAACCTCCGAAGGCTTCTTATAACTGCTCTTGATTCAGTCTCGTAAGTCTAGGAGAAAGCAGTCTTATATGCGTAGCCGTGTTGTGTAAAATCTCAGCTCTAAGCAATTTGGAAAGTCGTATTGGCAAACAATTGTTTTCGGTCATTCATCATCAAGCTGGTACATGACATGCAGAATAAAAATGACTTAGA